GAAAGGGGGAGATCTCCTCCCTTGCCATCTGCCCATAGCTTATCAAGTCTCATCAGGACTTCGTGGGTCCTCTTCCTCTGTATTCTGGCAAGGCCACACTGCCAGTGGACAGTGTTCAAAGAGTAGGCAATGGAGATCGTGTTAGAGACAGCCCCTGCTCTCTCTACTTGGGAACCCACATGGCGACTGAGCTGCCTACGGGCTACATCTGAGCAAAGGCGTCTAGGTCCTCTCCATGCATGGTCCTTGGCTGGTGCATCAGTCTCTGCAGGGGCCCCTGGGCCATGACTTTTTGGCTTTATGGTTCTCCTTGTGGAGCTCCTGTCCCCTCTGGGTCCTTCTATCCTCCCCTTCTTCCATAAGACTTCCTGCGCTGTGCCCAAAGTTTGGCTGTGAGTCTCTGCATCTGCTTTGATCCCCTGTAGGGTGGAGCCTTTTAGAGGACATCTATGGTAGGCTCCTGTCCTGTTCCCTCTCTTCCACCACTTCTGGTGTCTAGCCTCTTTGCCTGTATCTTCCGTAGGTCTTTAGATTTTAGTATGGTTATCCTATATATTTTTTAAATTTAATTCTATTAACTATAGTTTATTCATTTTGTATCCCAGCTATAGCCCCCTCCCTCCTCTCCTTCAAATCCCACCCTCCCTCTTTTTCTCCTCCTATGCCCCTACCCCAGACCAATGATAGGGGAGGTCCTCCTCCCCTTCCATCTGACCACCCTAGACTATCAGGTCTCATCAGGACTGGCTTCTTTGTCTTCCTCTGCAGGCTAGTAGGGCTGCTCCCCGCTCATATGGGGGTGATCTGAGTTCATGTCAGAGATGGTCCCTGGTCTTATTACTGGGGAACCATTCCTCTTGGACACTGAGCTGCCATGGGCTACTTCTGTGCAGGGGTTCTAGGTTATCTCCATGCGTGGTCCTTTTTTGGGGTATCAGTCTCAGAAAAGACCCCTGTGCCTAGATTTTTTGGTTCTGTTGCTCTCCTTGTGGAGCTCCTGGTTATCGTATATTATATGGCTAATATCCACTTATAAGTGAGCATATACTATGCATGTCTTTCTGGTTCTGGGTTGCCTCACTCAGGCATCTTTTCTAGTTCCATCTGTTTGCCTGCAAATTTCATCAGGGAAATGCAAATTAAAATGACTCTGAGATTCCATCTTACACCCATCAGAATGGCTAAGATCAAAAGCTCAAGTGACAACACATGCTAGAGAGGATGTGGAGGAAGGGGAACCATCCTCCATTCTTGGTGGAATGCAAACTTGCACAGCCACTTTGGAAATTAATCTGGCTCTTTCTCAAAAAATTGGGAATAGTGCTACTTCAAGATCCAGCTTTACCACTCTTGGGTATATCCATCTGTCTGTTAGTCTGTCTGCCTATCTATCTACCTACCTATCGTTTTATCATCCGAATATAAATATATGTGTGTATGTGTGTGTGTGGCTATCAATCTATCTTTTTTTTTTAAAGATTTGTGTATTTATTATTTATGTATTTATTATTTATACATGCATTTGAATCTGTGATACACTTTCCATTCACTATTGTGAAGGTCATCAGCTCCACCTCTATATTTGCTGCTTTTGTGTTAAGGTTCATTTGCTTGAGTGCACATTGTTGGACTGTACTCTCTCCACTGAATAGCCTCTGTCCTTTGACAAAGAGGAATTAACTACAATTGCATGGGTCATTTCTGCATTCTCTATTCTGTCTTGCTGATGCATTTGTCTGTTCTTGCAGTTTGATCACTCAGGCATTATAATACATCTTAAACTGGGCAGTGTCTGTCAATCCTCCAACTTCATTGTCTTTCCACAGAGTTGACTAACGTATCTGGCTTTCCATATCAACTTTATGGTTATTTTGTGAATATACAATATCATAACTTGCTAGGATTTTGAATGGGACTGCATTGAATCTACAAATCAAGTTGAGAATCAAGTTGACATCTTGACAGTTTTCTTATCCATAAAAATGAAATTTCTCTATGCTTATCTTGTTGTTTAATATCTTTCATAAGTTATACTTTCCTTATTTAGATCTTATGCATATTCTGCCAGATTTATATCAAAGTATTTAAGTTTTAGGGCACCAATATAAATGGTTATTGTGCTTTAAATGTCACGTTCTCCTTTGGTGTTTGTTGTTATGGTATGGGCATCTGTTCTCGCTAAATCCCACTTGAAATTTAATCCCCAAAGTCATATCTTTTTTTAAAAAAGATTTATTTATTTATTATTTATACAGTGTTCTGCCTGCAGGCCAGAAGGGGGCACCAGATCTCACTATAGATGGTTATGAGCCACCCGGTGGTTGCTGGGAATTGAACTCTGGACCTTTGGAAGAACAGCTAGTGTTCTTAACCTCTGAGCCATCTCTCCAGTCCCCAAAGTCACATCTTTTCTTCCTTCCCCTCCTCCTTCTCAAGACAGTCTTTCTGTGCAGCCCTGGCTGTCCTGGAACCTCCTCTGTAGAGCAGGCTGGCCTCAAACTCACAGAGATCCACTGTATCTGTCTCCTAAGTCAGTCTTACTGGTATTTGGAAGTGGGACCCTGAGAGGTAAGAGGAACCTGGGCATGCTGGGTCTGCTTCTTCATGTGACACTATCCACTAGACTGTGGTCCAGCAGGAAGGCCCTCATCAGATGCTGGGCAGATGCTGGCACTAAACTGCTAGACTTCCAGGATCCATAATTGTGAGCTTAATAAACCTCAGTTTTTTATAATGAGTTACAGCATCATAAAATGATCCAAAGCACTGGCATATAGGAAGGGGATCGAGTTTTGTGCATTAATCTTATAACCAACAGCCTTGCACTATACATTTACAACTAGTCCAGGTCAATTGCAGATAACACCACACCACATCTCAGAAGTGTGTTATGATATCAGCATAATTGGACTTCCTCCTTCATGTGTGCATGTATCATTGACATAATTCAGTTCATTCAAATATATGATGTATATGCATACATAATTTTTTTTTTGTTTTTTCAAGACAGATTTCTGCCAGGCGAGGTGGTACATAATCCCAGCACCCTGGGAGGCAGAGGCAAAGCAGCTCTCTGTGAAGTGGAGGCCAGCCTTATCTACAAAGCAAGTCCAGAGACAGCCAAGGATACACAGAAAAACCCTGTCTCAAAAAACCAAAAATAAAAAAGGACAGGGTTTCTCTGTGTAGCCAAGGCTATTCTAGAACTCTCTGTAGAACAGGCTGGCTTTGAGCTCACAGGGATCCACCTGCCTCTGCCTCCTGAGTGCTGGGCTTAAAGGTATGTCCCACAAAGCCCGGCTGTAATCTTAGCACTCAGGGAGGCAGAGGCTGGTGGATCTCTGTGAGTGCGAGGCCAGCCTGCTCTACAAAGCGGGTCCAGGATAGCCAAGGCTACACAGAAACCATGTCTCGCAACTGCCCCCGCCCCCCAAAAAAGCAGTCACCACCACCACCCAGCACATGCATAAATAATTGAATTCCTTTTAAAAACGACTGTTCTCAAGTTTCCCAGGCTGATCTCAAACTCACTATGTAGCTGAAGATGGCTTTCAATTTCTGATCCCTGCTTCTACCTCTGAGGGCTGTGATTACAGGAATGTGCCAGCACACCAAGTTTATGTGATTTTGGAGATTAAAACCAGGGCTTCGGCACGCTGAGCAAATGAGTAAACACTCCAGCCACTGAGCTACATTGCCAGCCCCATCATGATTACTTTGAACAAATGGTTACGTTTGATTTCTGCAGAGGAAGGAAAACAAAGGTCTTAGTTCCTTTATCTTTAATGTTCTTCCTTTATGTGGATCCAAGTTTCTAACATTTGTTATTTTTCCTTCATTCTAAAGAACTTTGAACACTCCTTGTAAGAAACCTTTTTTCTTACAAAATTCATAATTCTGGGGCATGGAGAGATGGCTCAGTGGTTAAGAGAACTTGCTGTTCTTGCGAGGACCTGGGTTCGGTTCCCAGCAGCCACAGGGTGGCTCATCATCATTTGGATCAGGAAGTGTGCTCCTCTCTTCTGACCTCAAGAAATGAATGTTATGTACATACACACATGCAAGCCAAACAAGTAAACCTAAAAAAGAGCCATGACTCTGAGTTTATGGTTTAAATATTTCATTCCATTGTCTTCCTGTTTGCATAGCTTCTGAGGAGTCACTTTCTTACCTCTGTAAGACTACTCTGTTGTGAAATAGTTCTCCTCTGGCTTCTCCCCGGATTTTGTCTCCCAGGATATCTCATGACTTCCTGTCGTTTGACACTGTGTTTGTAGTTTTTGTTGGCATTTATACTGCTTGCTTTTCTTAGCTTGCCACCTGGACCTCTAACTTTGTATATAATATTAATTTGGGGAAACTTTTAGTTATTTCAAGTGTTCTGTTCCTTTCTCTCTTCCCCTTCCAGTGTTATCTGTCTGTCTGTTAGTCTGTCTGCCTATCTATCTACCTACCTATCTATCTTTTTATCATCCGAATATAAATATTTGTGTATGTGTGTGTGTGGCTATCAATCTATCTATTTTTTTAAAAGATTTATGTATTTATTATTTGTACAGTATTCAGCCTGCATGTGTGCCCGCAGGCCAGAAGAGGGCACCAGATCTCATTACAGATGGTTGTGAGACACCATGTGATTGCTGGGAATTAAACTCAGGACCTTTGGAAGAACAGCCAGTGCTCTTAACCTCTTGAGCCATCTCTCCAGCCCCCTCAATCTATCTTATATGTATCTCATTTATATAAAACATTTATAAACTAAAACAGATATATAGGCATATATTACATAATTAACACAAATATATATAAAACTTCTTTTGTGTTCTGGTCTATATAGTTCAATCTTTGCAGTTTTCCTTTGGTTTTTGTGCTTAAGAATTTCTATAGTGATATAGTCAAGTTCAGAACTTCTTCCTCAGTATGGTGTTTTACACCTAAGTAAAATGTATTAAACAGACTTGAAGAAAGTAATGCTATCTTTTTTTTTTTTCTCCACCTAGGCCTTTCCCCTGGTTTGATCTGATTGCTGTGCAACTCAAGGAAACTCCCTTTAGCCAGTACCTCTCAGCAACTCCTGTTCTGCAGGACCACCTTACTCTTATGTACTGTGACTCATTTGGCATCTCCCAAAATAAAGAAGAGGGTTCCACAGTTCTTCCACCCTAAGGATGTCAGGGCTGACAGAGAGCCATGGACTTTGAAGCTACACTAATGACTTGAGTGTAGAATAAAACATGAGGTTCTATATACGCCAATATACTTGGGTGTGTTTAGCTTTCAGAAACAGCTTAGTACATTGCTTCCCCCAAAAGCCTTTTAACAGTAGCTTTCTTCTAAACGCTAAATTCAAGCAGTTATGTCAAAATTAATCAAACATGAGAGCTTCTTGACATTCAGTGGTAATATAAAGCTAGAAAATGATATGATTCTCCTACTTTTTTTTTTTTTTTTTTTTTTTGGAGAGAGAAGCAAATGTTGGGTGAGCAATCTTAGTTGAATTAGGATTAATTCATGTTTGTCTTAGTTATATTGGACTATTCTAGGATGGTTATTTAAAGCTATTCCCATTGAAACCATTTAAATCCACAAAAGCCATAGAAATATTACTGGGAAAGATGGAGCTCACTGGTGGAGTGCTTATTTAGGATGTGAAGAACTGTGTGTGTTCAGTCACTAGCACGCCATAAATTTGGTAAGGTGGCGCCTACTTGCAGTCTAGCACTTAAGAGGCAGGAGCATCCAACATTGAAGGTTATCCTTGGCTACACAGTGCATTTGAGGCCAGCCTGGGTCACAGGAGATCATGCATACCACAGGGAAAAAAAAAAAAAACCCACAAAAGAAACAAAACAACCCACCAGCAGCAGCAGCAGCAATGAGAATGCCAACTGGAATTGAGTGTGGTGCCAAATCAGTAATCCTAGTGCCAGGAGTCTGCAACAGGAAGATGAAGTTCCAGGCCAGTGATGGGCCTCAGGTGAGACTGTCTCAAACAGGCAGGCAGGCAGGCAGGCAAAAAGGCACACCCAAGGCGCACCCAAACCTGGCACTCATATTAAATCCTAAAAAAAAGTTTTACAAAATGAAGATCTTCTTTCTGTAGTATATATTTGTTTCAAATTTTATAATTAAGTTCAACACAAAAGCAGGGAACCCACCAAAGCTAGGTAATGAAGTTCCCAGCTTTGCCACTGGATAGAAACATGTTTTCTGAATGCTTAAGAGCTTCTGAGCAAAACCACCCACTATACATGGAAATCACCATGCTTTCATTAATCACCTACATTTTGCTATTTTGCGTAATCCTGTAGTAAGTAAATTCAGTGGTTCTGGAATGCATCTAATTAATTAATTTATTAATTTTTAAGACAATTTCTGGCTGGGTGGTTGCAAGTCTTTAATCCTAGCACTCAGGAGGCAGAGGCGGGTGGATCTCTATGGTCTACAGAGCTAGTTCCAGGATAGCCCGAGTTACACAAAGAAACCCTATCTTGAAAAAAAGAAAGAAAGGAAAGAAAGGAAGGAAGGAAGGAAGGAAGGAAGGAAGGAAGGAAGGAAGGAAGGAAGGTTTCTCATAAAACTTTCTAGTACAGTTTGAGGGAAAAGTTGGTTTGTCATCAAATATTGATATGAAAATGGACTTACATTCAGGTGTATAATTTGATCAGTACATCATTGCCCTTCTGCACTTTTAAGAAGTGAGACCAAGGTGCTGAGGAGAGGGCTTAGGGGATAAAGTGCTTGCTGAGCAAGCAAGAGGACCAGAACCTGAGTAAAGCTGACCTGGCAGATGTGGTGGGTGTCTGTAATCTGAGGGGAGGTGCAGACAGGAAATCCCCCCTCGAGTAAGCTGGGTACCTAGAATAACCAAGCCAATGATTTCTGGGAGTCCTTGCCTTGCGAATAATGTGGGTGGTGACGGGGAAGGCACTGGACATCAACTTCTGACCTCCAAACTCCTCCACAAGTGTGTCCCCCACTAACAGGCACAAACACACACACACACACACACACACACACACACACACACACACACACA